GAGACCACATCTCTACAATAAATCAAAAAATCAGTTGGGCGTGATAGCACATGCCTGTAATTCCGGCTACTCAGAAGACTGAGGCGGAAAGGATCGCCGGAGCCCAGCGGGTCGAGGCTGAAGGATCGCCGGACCAGCCACTGCACTCCAGTCTGGGTGACAGAGTGAGACTCCAACTCAAAAAAAAAGCTAAAAATAAACAAACAAACACACACCTAAAATGTACAATATACATCAAGTAAAAAAAGGGCTTGATGGAAAAATAATATATTATTTATACCAGAACTAACACAAACATCTTCCAAGACAAATTCATTTTCAGAACTTGTCTAAACGATTCTTAGGCTATTCATCTTACCTTCCAATAGGACTTGTCTGGTCTGTTTTACCTTTCTCAATAGAATGCAAGCACAACTCTGACACATATTTAAAACAGAATGATAACATTTGATACTATCTGATGCTAGAGCTTTCCTGGTCTTACCAGAAGGTGTGAACACAAGTTTTCCCATAACTGTAACACACTGCCATCTGGCTGACACACACTGTAAGACACCATCAATTTAAGATGTCATCATAATTTTAATAGTTAAAATGTTAGAGGGAGAAAGGTCTATCTTAGAATTGATGAAATAGGTTAATACAAAATATGCAACTGTTTAAAAACTACAGTACTTTGAAAAATTCGAAGAAACCCACATTTTTATGTCACTTTCAACACCTAACCATACTTTTTGTTTCATACATTAAATTTTCTCCTAGAGCTTAGAATACATCAGCGCATTCTTCTCTGCAGGTTGAATGATATAGAATCTTCCTCTAAAACTTACTGGCACATTCTCCTAAATTCTTCATGGTTGCCATGGAGATTAACCGAAATTAGCTAAGATTTCTGCTTATCTGTTTGATAACCCGCTAGGGAAATTGCTGTAAATCTGAGAAAAGTGAAATACTGTACATATACCCAAAAAGATGACAATCAATTCACATCACCTTCAATTACCCAACAGCAATTAATACTCTGACCATAAGTTTCTTTGCATGAACATTTGTTAAATAACTACCCTTCAAAGAATGCGGTAAGGAAAATCCTATTTAAGGAATCCTAAGTAAATACTTGTTTAAAATCAAGAATTATTTGCATCAACAAAAATTTCCCCACTAATTTGTCCGTAAATTTAGTATGTTCCCAAGCATACCTCAGTATGTATGCCTGTAAGTGGGAAATACCTTACTGGGTTTTTGTGTCTAGTATGTGTTCACATTATGGGGGCAGTAGAAGGGAAGGCGAGAAACTGCAAAAAACAGGAATGCTCTACATCCAAAAAACATACTGGCACAAATACATAAAATTCATTATTTTTTTTGATAGTCAAATTTAAATTCTTCTTATAAACAATTTAAACTCACCTTTTCTGGCGTGTTTTGAGTAATGACATCCAAATGTGATAAAACTGCTAAAAATGTACAAATGCTTGTTTTAAGATTTTCTTCACCCTGAATAAAGAATCAGATAAACAAACACTCATTCAAAGATTACTGTGAGCCGTACATGGTAAGGACTGTGCTGGACTCGGCGGTCCATGATGGGAGGCAGCCATGAAAGCAAAGGAGTTTGAAACTAACTTCCTAGAGCCAAACACCAATGCATAGAACAATCAGCAGGTAATATAAATTACTAAATAGCTATATAAAAAATACAGTTAGCCCACCATATCCATAGGTTCCACATCTGCAAACTGAACCAACCATCAATTGAAAAGTAAATAACAAATAACATTGCCTGGTTCAGTGACACACCTGTAATCCCAGCACTTTGGGAGGCTGAGGCAGGAGGATCACTTGAGACCAGGAGTTCAAGACCAGCCTGGGCAACAAAGTGACACCTTGTGTCTACAAAAAAATAGAAAAATTAGCCAGCCATGATAGTGCACCCTGGTCTTAGCTACTAGGGAGGCTGAGGTGGGAAGATTGCTTGAGTCCAGTTCAAGGTTGCAGTGAGCTATGATCATGACACTGTACAGTCTGGGTGACAGAATGAAACGCTGTCTCAAAAAAAATTTTTTTTAAATGACAACAGAAATTAATACAAATGAAAAGTAATATAGTATAATAACTATTTACTTAATATAGTATAATAACTATTTACTTAATATTTATATTATGTATTATAAGTAATCTAGAGATGATTTAAAGTATGTGGGCAGATGTACATTAGAAGCAAATATTTCGCTGTTCTCTATAAAGAACTTGAGCAGCTGCAGGTTTTGGGATCCACAGGGGGCCTGGATCCACAGGGGGATGCAGCCCAGTCCAAGGTACGCGCTGGGCCCTCAGGGATGTGGCCTATATGAACCGAGATCTGAAGGGAAGAAAGAGTTATCTAGACAAAGAAGAGAAGAAGACAACTTCAGATGGAGGGCACAGCATGTGCAATGGCCTGAGATTAAAAAAAAACCAAAACCAAAACAAAACAAAACAAGTTAGTGATAAGCAAGAAAGATTAAAAGGTCAGTGTGATACTCAGTCACAATGGGCGTCTCTTCCACTTCCTGTGAACCAAGCCTCTGCACCCATGGCCAATGCAGGCACCTCCTACCTTTGGGGGGCTGGTCATGTGATCTGCATTGGCCAACGAGACATTCAGCAAGCATGATGCCCCCAAGGCTGAATGGGCACTTGCACAACAGGACATGGCCCCCTGGAATGCTCATTCTTGGAGTTCTGAGCCACCATATCAAGAGGGCCAATCCCCTACTGGAGACATGGAGTAAGAGCAACACCTGGCCACCAGAGCTGCTTCTGTCATTACAGATGAGGTGACAAACGTGAATGAAGAAGCCATCTGGAAGTCCCAGCCCCAGCAGACACCGCATGGAGCAGAACCACCCAGAATTAAACACAGAGAATCATGAACAACAATAAAACAATGTTTACATCACGAGGTTTTGGACAGTTCTAGCAACAAAAAACTGAGACAACCAGTATGACTAAAGTATAGAAGTGGGAATGGAGCACACAAAGGGAATGAGAAAGGAGGTCTAAGATCGCACCAGACTTACAGGTCATTCTCAAGAGTCTGGTCTTCATCCTGAGAAGAGTGTTTTAAGCAACTGGGATAGCCTGTTCAATTTTTAATTGTGGAAATCCCCCTCCAGATTCAGTGTGGAGAAAAGACTGAAACAGAGACAAGAGTCGATGTAGACAGCCCAGCGAGTGTACCACTGCAACGGACAACAGCAACTTAGACCAAGATACTATGGCAGAGACAGACGAGAGATAACTAAGAAATATTCAGGTGGTAAAATCAACAGGGCCTGGTCATGAATCATGTAAAGACATGAAGCATACAAAGTGTCAAGGTTTTTGGTTCAAGCAACCGTACAGATTGTGGTGCTGCTCCCTACAGTAAAAAGGAGATCAAGTTGTTGGGGGGGAAAAATAAAGCACTTGGTGTTAGATGCTTTTAAACATGCAAGGAAAAGGCCTACAGCAAGGATCTGCAAACTTGTCCTTAAATGGCCAAACAGTAAATGAAAATAAGGCTTTGCTGATTACACAATCTGTTACAACTGTTCAACTCCATCAATTTGGTGCAAACACAGTCACAGACAATATGGAAACGAATGGGCACAGTTGTGTTCCTATAAAACTATGCTGGACTAAATTTTACTATAGTTTGCCAACCCCTGACCTAGAGCTTAGGGAAAGATGTGTGGAAAAGAAATATAAATCGGTGAGTCATTCACATCAGGTAGTAAGTGAATCCATGACACAGATGAGACTGACTATAAAAAGAGGAGAAAATAAGGAAAGAAGAAGGCCTAGCCCTTGAGAAGCACTAACACTTAACAGGTGGGCAGGACAAGAAAAGCTGGGAAAGGATAGAAAAGAGAGAACAGAGGGGCAGGAGGAACCAGGAAAGGGTGCATCATTAGAATCAAGAACAAGGAAATGGTCAACAGTGCAAATGTGCCTAAGGGAAGAAGGTCAAAGCTGACAACTGACCCATGGAGACCACTGCTGACCCCAGCAACAGTGTCTCCTGATAAATGACGAAACTAGAAGCTGAAAAGTGGTTTGGGAAGGACGTGAGAAAATGGGAGTTATGGCACACAGACACTTCTTTCAGGAAGCCTAGCTGTGAAAGAGTAGAGAGGCAGGGTGATTACAGAAGAGGGATGAGAAAATCTTCAGTGTAAATAGCCTCAAAAAATGGATGAGATTCAAACATGTTTGAAAATCACTTGGTCAAAAAGGAGAGACTGAGGGTAGAAGAAAGACTGATAGCAAAAAGTTTCTAAGAAGGCAGAAAGGAAGAGGAGCATCAGAGAACAAGCAGAGTTACTATCGAACAGAAGATTTAGGTTCTATATGGTCAAAGGAGGGGAGATGTCTCAGATGGAAACTGATTTAGGTAGATTTGGATGACTGCTCCTAAGAAGATACCAGATATTCCTATGTGCTGACTTTCATTTTTTTTCCTAAGAAAAACAAACGGTAAAGTCATTTACTCCGAATAAAGGAGGAAAAGGGTATCATGGACAACTGACACTTTCTCTGACATCCGTCATGAATCCCCTTCCAAGTTAAGGGAATTCTCCTACCTTATGAGTCTTGGGGGAAGTTAAAAAACACCAGATATTCACTTTTCCAGCCTCCTTGCCACTAACAAGAAGGCACCGACCTGGTTCCAGGGACACGTATCCCAAACTCTGAATCAAGAACTCATAGCCTTGAGAAGTACAACCCACGGAAAACCACCTCCACCACAGGCAACAGGAATACAGTTTGCTATGGCTACAGCCTTGCTGTGAAGGCACCGTGCGTCCAGTGAGATAAAGTAACGTCCCCAATGGACCAGCCCTCTGGCCTGCACATGGCTGCAATTCTGGAAGCTGTTGAGTCTCCCCTGTTCCTGACAATTTTCCAAGCCTGATACTGTAGCATTCCTGGCATCCTGTAAGCTACCTACTCCCTCCTTCCCCACTACTTTTTTGTGTCCTTTTTTAAATTACATCAGCAAGACCCGCCTGGGCAGGTGAGACCTCATCTCTACAATAAATCAAAAAATTAGCCGGGCGTGGAAGCGTGCACCTGTAATTCCGGCTACTCAGAAGGCTGAGGCGGAAGATTCGCCGGAGCCCAGCAGGTCGAGGCTGCGGTGGCTGGGAGCAGCCACTGCACTCCAGTCTGGGTGACAGAGTGAGACTCCAACTCAAAAAAAAAAAAAAAAACAATTACATTAGCAAAAGTTTCTTCTGCCTACAACTTAAAGTTCTGATTGATGCCCACAGGTAAAATCGAAGATTTGAAGAAAATAGACAGGGTCCAATACCAAGTGAGAGGCTGAGCTAAGTGGAATTGAAAGGAACGGCTACCACTGCTGTGCACACAGGAGCATCAGGAAGTCTCAGTAGCACACCACAACCTATCTGCCCTTTATGAGCATTTCTGAGGCAGCACTTACCCAGCTGAGAGCAGGCACAAACAAATTAGACTAATAAAGCCATGGCTCTGAAAGGCAGTTCAAGGAAAAAGGTCAAAATCGGTTTCTCCATTGCAGAGCCATGAGGGAGAGAAGGAAAAACCAGAAGAGGCTTGAAACAGGTGAAAAGAAATGCAGGTTTTGAAATTAAACAGGCATTTGAATTAAAGCTTTATTAGAGCTTCAATTAGAGGTGTGACAAATGACTGTATTCTGAGAAAAATAAAGTTCACTTAATCTTCAGTTTCTTTGTAAGTAAAATGTAAAAACACCAACTTATCTTTCAGGATTACTGTGAGGATGTTGCTGCAGCTGCTTACTGTGAGGTGTGGGTTTCAACCCAGGAGGCTGGGAGAATGAAGTACACCTGAAAGGGGAGCCAGTTTTAGGGAAAGATGTCATTATCTGTTTAGTTTTAACACAGGATAGAGTTTGGAGTGATTGTGGAAAAGGCTTCACAGGTGGCTGAGGAAGCAGAGACCAGCACAGATGGGATTCATAACGCTAAGGGATGGAGAAAAAGAGTAAAGGGCTAAAAGATAAAACCAAGCCTAAGGGTTGGGAGAAAGAAAGAAAGCAAATGAAGGAAACAGAGAAGTCATCAGCATAACAGAAGGCAATTATGAAGTAAACTGGAGTGTGACAGTTAGCTACAGAGAAGCCCAACTTGAAGGAATGGAAGGACAGAGAAGAGAGGAAAAAAGGCTGTCTGCAGCTGCCCGAAGAGCTCAGTGTGTCACTGTAAAAATGGAGCGGACTGCAGTGGTTGGAGGAAAGCAAAGATCACTCATTCCTGAAGTTGAACAGTAAAGAGAAGATGACATTGGATAATAACTGGATGGAGGAAAAATCAACAGAACAAGAGTGACGAATTCAGAGAACAGAGTCCCAAAGGAGATACAAATAAGGTCACAAGAATAGATGTAAAAAAAAGAATGAAGATTTCTGCCCCTGAAACACAAAGGAAGAAACAGAAAAAGAGAGATATTTTGAGAAAGGCACCTCTATTTTCAAACAAAGTAAAACAAGATTGTCTATTAAGAAAGAGAAGGGTGAATTTGGGAATTAAAGGAAAACATTCAAGGCAAGTATTTAGAACTGCTGTTTAGAAACAATTAGTTATTTGTCAGGAAGACTGCAATTATAAAGCCTATTTGTCAGGAAGACTGCAATTATAAAGTCTATCACCAATCTTAGTATTGATTCCTTAAAAATGATTTTTAAGATATAAGAAAAGTTGATAAGGGGTGAGTGTGAGAGTAAGTGAGGTATAGATGAAACAGAAATGTATCTGAATCAATATTTGTTTGTAGGTGGGTGATGAGGGCCCTTCTAGTCTTCCTATTTTGGTCATGTTTGGAATTTCCCAACAAAAAGTTTTTTGTTTTTTAATATGAGGAAGGCACTTAATCCCTCATCATTTATATTTCTAAGATCAAACAAAGACACTGCTTGGTAAATAAGGTAACAGAGTAAAAGACAACTATTAAAATGAAACAAATCTCCCATTGTCAAAATCAACTTCTCATTTTAAAAAATATGAAAAATGTCCTTTACTTACATAAGAAAAACAATCCCAAAACTTTGGAAGAAATTGAGGGAATTTATGAAGAATCAATATAATAATCCATTCTATAAAATATTTTATGGATGCTTGATTGTTGACAAATCCAGCCTGGAAAATTCTGTCAATAATTCCATTCAAGAAATTCTGAGAAACATAAAGTTCACAAATTAAGTTGTTATGCTATGGTTATTCACTTTAATTAAAAACAAAACAAAAAACAGTCCCCATTTAAAAAACCAGCTTAAAGTTTTTATCATAAGCAATTTATTGAGTCTACAACTCTCCAAGAAAAGACCCTAAAAACTGCTGATTGAAATATAACAAAGTACTTTTAATGAGTACTTTACAATTTACCTTAACAACAATTCTATAATGAATGTTACCATCATCTGTATTTTTACAGGGAAAGAAAAAGACTCAGAAGAGTTAAATAACTTTCCCAAAGTCACATACCTAGTAAGCGGCAGAATTTAGATGCAAGTCAAGATCTGCCAAGACGCCAGGGCTTAAAACTTGGAACATGGCAAGTCAAAGGCATGAAATAGAATCACAGCGGGGCACGTTTTGGGCCACCATGTCCTCTCTCCAGTTTACTTGTCCTCCCAGTCTCACAGTCTGTCCAGCCCCACAACCACCGCTGTTGTTCTCTGGCTAAGACCTTGAACTCCAAAATCATCCCTTCCCTCTGCTGCCATCTTTCTCCTCAAAATTGTACTTCTATCTGGGGGACTGAGCATATCTATGTAGCAGGCAAAAAATAACATATTTATATAAGCATATAAAAATATTTATTACACATATTTCTTTTTTTAAAAGCAGTAAAATTTCTAACCTAAGAGAATTTCTGCTTGGTAGACATAGAGCAGAAGAGCTCATCTTAAGCCCCAAGACAGTGCTATCAGGTGGGGCATGGTCTTCGCAATCAGACTTGATCTTAAATTCTGGCTCTACCATTCCCTAGCTGTGTTCCCTTACAGCAGATCTCTTCACCTCACTGGCCTGCAGTGCCCTTACATGAAAAACAGGAATGCTTATGGCCTGTTTTGAAGGATTATAAATAACCGAAACTATAAGACATAAGAATTTAAAGCTCTTAGCAGTGGCTGCTCCATAACAGACATTCTCTTCCGTACAGGCCCACCTGCTCTGACATATCCCCACCCCTCCAGCATTATCCTTCTTTCCAGGGGCTACTCCATTCCAAGAAAAAATTATGCTCTCAAGTAACCTACTAAAGCTTTTCTAAATTGTTTCTTTTGTAAATGCATTTTAATGTTCCATGATATATTATATGGTATTCTTTAAAATCAAAGTAGTAAAAGACCTATGATGAAAATAGCAGTCCTTACCACACATCAATCAATACAACTTTTTTAGCTATTTCATCTTAGAGTATTCCAAATAATTTATTTGGATATACTTATATAGTTATACCATTGCTGAAATGTTTTTCTCTCACAGATATAAGGTTTCATAAAATTGTAAGGCTGAATTTTTTGTTTAATTCTCTCAAACATTTAAGAGAATGGGAGAGGACAGTAGGAAACTTTCAAGTCTGAGATAATTTTTTTGCATTGAAAATTGTTCTTAAAAATTGCACGAGTCATATACTATCACATTCTCATAATATGATCTAGTTTCTTAACAGGAATATTAAGCAAAGATGGTTAGAGAAATCAGATAGTCCATTCAACTGTTCCTTGCTTCCTCAAGGAAGACAGGTAACTTTGGACAAAGAGATTCTGTTGGAAGAAACACAGATCTTGGCCTTTGCTTTGTTGTTTTATGTGACCACATTATTCATGAAATTAAGAGCAAGAAGCTCTGCCATAGGAAATAATAATCCTGTCCCAAATGTTGCAATTCGCCTAGTTTCTACAGACAACCCAAAACAATCACACTCTAAAATAACTTGTGTGTGAAAAACTTAAAGTACTTCAATTTTCTAATCAAATGTCATATAAGATTTAAACACTTAAAATGATACATTAAAATACAAAAGGAGCCGGGCTCGGTGGCTCAGCCTGTAATCCCGTGCCTTTGGGAGGCTGAGGTGAGTGGATTGCCTGAGCCCGCGGGTTCGAGACCCGC